TCTATACACCGCAAGAAAAATGATAACAGTGTATTGTGAAAAAACTTCAAATATCAGGGCGCATTGTAACCAGAATAGCGCAGACCCTAGCGGCACTTACTAGTCTTATAGGACGATATGGCTTTATAATAACATAAAGTTATTGTAGTCTTCAAATAAAAAAAAAATCAGACTTACGCGTTCAGTAGCCAGAATTCAAGCCATATGATACAAAGACAGCATTTTGAATAATAAAAGTAGTCATCGCCAAACGTCGCATCTGAAGGGGTCACACTCCTGGGGGGGGGGGGGGGGGGGGGGGGGTGGTAGCAAGTGTTGTTGCGAACTCAGAAAAAAAAAGGAAATTCCATGACACTAATCATGATTACATTCGATTTATTGAAATTTATTTATTCAGTTTATTTATTCGAGCACTTGTTCGTTTTTTTTTCGTCTGGTACACGAATAAATCAGAGAAGAATTTCCACGCTTGAAAGTACCCTTCCGAACTTTACGGTGCATGGTGAAGTAGGGTTCGCCTGTTTCAGTGACCTCGGCCTTTACTTCCATTATTAGCGTGAGTCAGGTAGGCCTAGGCCTACTTATCAGATATGGGTGTACTCAAAGACTCTAATAGTAATAGTTAAACGCTCTTCCATTCAACCACGCAGTCAACATAAAGTTGTCTATGCGAGAAGCACAGATACTCCAAATGTAGCAATAGTATTCCACACTAAACTGACGAAATAGTTTTGGAGGGTTTCGTTTGATTAACCCGTTACTAGCCGTGTATTTCATCACCTGTAAAAAAAAAACAACCCAACTCATTGTGTGTGTTAATCGTTAGTCTTCGTAATGAAGAGGGAGTGTCTTGTGCCTGACTGCCCAGCGATAATAGGAAAAAGATATTGCATCATGTAAACCCACGGGTTCCCAGACTGTGTGTCGCGACCCCAATGGGGGGGGGGGGGGGTGGTCGCCAATATGTAGACTAAACCAATAAAAAAATTCTCTAATACAATTTATTTTTTAATGTCATTTTGGTGTCGTGAGGTGTGAATAAATTTCATATTAAAAGACCAAGAGAGAGTGGTTCTTCGAAATTCTTCTATATACTGTTCTAATCTTTATTTTATTATTTATTCCTATTTAGCTTTATCATTCGAAATGACATGAACAGAGCATTGAAACTTTTCAGATTTTTCTTAGTCATTTTGAGAAGCGTCATTCGGGACACACCTAAAAGATGTGAAGTTTTTTGTCAGCATGAAGTTAGTTGTAATTGTAAAGTCAGAGACTTGATCGAATAGGAAGTTTTTACGAAGGAAACACGTTAGTATTAGTGCAAGCATCATGTGAAGTCGCATTAGAAATTGGCAAGCAAAAAAAAAAAACTCACACAATAGGAGAAAATATCAAACCCTGCATGTTGAAGATATTGAACTTAATTCTTGGAGATTCCAGTGCAGTAAAGATGCAACAAATATCTGTCTTAATAAAACTACTATATGAATGAAATCAAGCAGGGGCGTAGCGAGGGGGGGGGGGGGCGGGGGGTGCGGACCGCACCGGGTGACACCATTTAGGGGGGTGACACAAAAAAAGAGCAAAATATATAGAGAAAAACTTGAGGGGGGTGCAAATCGAAAGTTTGAGGGGGGGGGGGGGGGGGTGCAAATCGAAAACTTGAAAGTTTGTCCCCGGGAAGGGTCGCTACGCCTCTAGTGGTGACACCGACACCATTAAGTGCCGCACCGGGTGACACCCGACCTCGCTACGCCACTGAAATCAAGCTTTCACAACTGTTTGCCTTTCAAGTTGATGAATCAACAGACGTGAGTGCGTGTTGGCAATTGATTGTCTGTAAATTTATTCATTCAGATGATATCAAAGAAGTGTTTCTTTTTGTAGTGAACCACTACAAAAAGTGAAGATATCATGGAAAAAATAAATACGCTTTTTTAAATTGGAAGATTAAAATGGTGAAACGGCTGTGAATAGTGTTTTCAAATTAAAAGAGGAAATCAAGTTGTTCTTGGAAAGTGCATGGTAAATAAGACCTTTTTGATATACTTTAACGACAAAGAGTAGTTGGAGAGAGTAGCATACCCAGCAGATATATTTGAAGAGGAAAATAGGCTTAAACCTGAACCTTCAGGGAAAATAAACTAATACGAGCCGGCCCGCGGCATAACATACGCCGCTATTTAGTTGTTGTTTTTTTCTACTTTTCAGTAATTCAAAATTTGTGAAATCGACAGTACCAACGCTGCCACTGAAAATATTTCTTTAAAACACTATAAGTAGCTCGTTAAGGACCATAACCCCCCCCCCCCCCTACGTTTAAAATCGTTGGCCCTGCTTGTAAACATTTAGAGTGAACACAGCTCACTAAAACCATGTAGGGGTGGGGAGGTAGGGAGCGCGTTTACAGCTTGTTTTCTAGTCGCGTTTGCAGCTTGTTTTCTAGCGGCTCCCAGAAGAGAATTTTATATATAGAAGATTATCTCTTTTCATCATAATCTCGGGGCATTTTTTATCAAAGCTGCAAAATAAACAAAGAAAAATAAATCTTGGAAATATTGCCATTTTTTATAGAAATTCTGCAGTGTGGTAGATGTATCTGATTGTGAGATTAAAAAATTGAAAAAGGAGATTTCTGTGTATCTTGAATCTCTTGAAAACCAACTGCGGCTTTATTCCCCGAGTAGAAAGAAGAAGAAACTGCATAGACACGTAACCCATTTTCTGCTTTCCTTGATGTTGCCAGCATTCCCAATAAATTACAAGATGAATTATTGCATTTGCGGAATGATTCTGTGGCACGTAGGATATTTAATGAAAACCGGATCATACAATTTTGGTGTAGTATGCACCATTCATACCCAGAGTTTCTTCCAGGCATCTCTTCCGCCCCCCCCCCCCCCGACGAAATGAAATTAATATAGAAATTATACTTTTAACAGTGTCCACCCCCCCCCCCCCCCGAAAATTTCAAGTGCCCCCCCCCCCCCCCCGGAGAATAAAGTCTGGAAGAAACACTGTTCACACCCAAACGTGACATTGATTGCCTTTCGAGTTTGAGTTCCTTTGGTCTACATAACTTTGCGAGAGTGGATTTTCAACACTTCTCCCATTAAAAACATAACAATAAGGTATATTAAATGTGGAGAATGACATGAGATTGGCGTTAACAAAAACTCAACCGCGAATGTTGTTGTTAGTGAATTGCGTGCTGTTTCACCCGTTGAATTAAAATAATTTTAATTAAAATTATGTTAGAAAATCGTATTCATTTCCTTTCTAATTTCGACTTTTTTTTTAATTCTATGGGGGTCGCGGGTCACTTACTTTAAAAAATGGGGCCACCACTCGAAAAAGTCTGGGAACCCATGAAAACCAAATGATTAAGAAGGGATGGGTGCATGATGAAATGGTAGAACAAAATTTCAGTTTAGCCTAGTATTTATAAAGCTAGTTCTGATAAATTTTGATTGGTAGTCCAGAATCGTAGACGTTCATTTACTTCATGATAAAGTCATAACTAGACTGGATCTCGTCTATATTTTGATCTTACTTTAAGTATTTTATTGGAATCAAAAGAAAAACATTTTAGTTTTAGTTTTACACACGTGCGTTTGATAAATGATAATGATATTGATAAGGACCTAGCCCACAGAAAAAGAACATTTACTTGGCCTAACCAATGAATCATTTGCATTTTAACCCGGAAACGATTACGTAGCCAATAGAAAGAATTCATAACATTGGGCCTTGCGACAAGCCGGTAGTTACTAGATCTAGATTCCGTATTAAAGGGAACTTAAATCAAGTTAAGTATCAAGGGTATCAAACATGTCTAAAACGGTTTACGTAACCCGCAGAATTCCACAGCCTGGTCTTGCAAAACTAGCGGAAGGCTTTGAAATAGTTAGCTACGAGAGCGATGAAGCTATACCTCACGATGTTCTTGTTCAAGCTGTGAGAGACAGGCGTTACGATGCGCTGCTCTGTATGTTAACTGATCAAATTGACGCGGAGGTTTTGGATGCTGCTGGTAAGTTGTATTTTGATCTATTGCTAGATCTCTATTTAGATATATATGTAAATGTAACACTTCATTATATTTCTTGTTTATATATCTATTTACTAGTCTAAATCAAATCAGTAGTTTTATTTAAAATATTGCAGCATTTCCGACCTTGACCCTTGTTAGAAAAATAGCCTGTATGCTTGGTTTCCTATTAAATTAAAACATGACATTAATGTGATCATCATAATATTATGTCTGTTTCTATCGTGATTTTATGTATAAATGACAAATTTAAGTTTTCATTATACATATCTTGAACTTTTTACACACATAAATAACTTAAACGTAGTTAACCTTGCTGTACCTAGCAGACAGCAATGCCAAGGTCGGTTGGTTTCAGACCAGTTCTTTGCCAGTCTAGGGCACATTGGTCTAGGGATCTAGGGCCTACCGGTGTACATTTTCCCCCAGTCAATTAACCTTGTTTTGTATGAGTGGAACAACCATTTCTTATTTGACTCACATAGGGGCCTAGTCTACATTAATTTTAACCTCGCCCCGTTCCGTCCATTGTAGCCTACTAATCACTGGGCCTAACCCCACCACTCCTCTTGTGAACTTCAACTTTAAACTTATCCAAACTCTAAAACTAAAGAATATTAAATATTATTAAAGACGATAATTATTCTATATATTTTTATATAAGCCTAGGGCCTATAGTCTATAGATCTAGATCTAGTTAGAATATAATTAAATATATCTGTCTATAACTAGTTAGGCCTAACTCTTAGTCTTAGACCAATTAGGGCCAGTACTTTAATATTTATAATATTTTTTGGCCTAAATAACATTTCATTTAGCTTCCCAATGGACCCAACCAAGAATAGTCTCAAAATTATTCAAAAGACCAATTATTTATATTCTAAATATTTTTAAATATTAGGCCTAAATTTCTGAATTATTTTAGGCCAAAATTTTTTATTTTTTAAATTAATTTTTACCTCCGCTTTGATGACTAAATCTAAAAAAGCACAATTTTTATCCATGGCAACAATATTATGGGAGGTTTCTCGTCAACTTTGTGATGTTCATTTCCAAGAATTTTATACTATTTTATATTCTTGTACATTTTCACTACAATTTATACAAAGAGGGTAAAATAAATGGAAGATATTGTTAAATTTCAATTACATACCCTGCTGAATGAAAAATGTAATCTTACTTGGACTTTAGGCTACTGAATTAAATAACTACAATGATGGCTAAGCATAATTTATTATTGAGTTAAAAAAACAATTTTAATATTTATCACATTACACCTAAGCTAATTCCCATGAGTTTGATGTTATTATTATTAAATTAATATCCATGATAAGCTGTTTTCACATAACTCCAACATTTACTAAGTTTTATTAAACTCCCACAATAATTTATGCTCCTGATGTATACTAATGCCCCAATAAACAGGTAAGCTTTTGTTGTCATGGGCACCATATTGTTAAATCACCTGTCTGGCACTATATTGTTAGTAGTCAGTTTGAGGATACCGTGTAAGATATTTGTTTTCATAGCTCTGATATTTCTATTTGAACAGGTCCACAGCTGAAGATTGTGGCAACTATGTCAGTTGGCTATGAGCACATAGATATCCAAGAATGTGCTAAAAGAAATATTTTGGTAAGAAAAGCAGATTAATTAAATGTTTTTGTAACTTGAATAAAAAAATCCCAAGAACAACTTCATTAGCTATTTACATAACATTGTTTGAAACCATGCTAAAAATTTGTGTTTATATTAATTTGGTAACCAATGTGCTTGCTTTCAACTTAATTTATCATTGGGAATATATCATTTAGGGTTTGTTTAGAGGTTATTAAGAATATTTTTAACATTAAGAACTGTTTGCTTATATTTATTTGTTAAGTAATCATTACATTTTACATAAGGTAAACATTTTTCTAAAGTATAATTAACTTTGCTTTAAATTAACAGCTTAGTAAAACAATTTGGTACAATAAGTGTAAAATAGAATAACAAAAAGTGTTTTACTTCTGGAAACAAATTAGAGGTAATTCACAAATGGTGTAAATGTTATAATCAATATTTACTCCCTCCACTCCAATGTATATCCTATTTATTTAACTGGTATTAAAAGATTTCACAATCAAATTACTTTTGGTTTACTTATAAAAATAACAGGTAGCCAATACACCTGGTGTCTCAACAGACAGTGTTGCTGAACTGACTGCATCGCTTCTCCTTCTGACAGCCAGAAGGTTAGCTGAAGGTACGTCAAAACTTAGATAACATTAATTTTTTAATTATATTAGTTAATTCTATACTATATATTAGTATGCAATAAATATAAATATGGGATTTAATTATTTAACTGCATTTTGAAATTATTTTTCACTATACTACGATTGCCCACTTATCTAAGATAGTTTTCTGCACTTCCAGTTTTAGAAGGTGAAAACATAATTAAAGTAAATATTGACTTTTAGGTGTAGAAGCTGTTAAGAAAGGAGAGTGGGGACCCTGGAAACCTATGTGGCTGTGTGGTACTGAACTCACTGGAAGAATCCTTGGCATTTATGGTCTTGGAAGAATTGGTTTCAATGTGGGCCGTAGACTAAAACCTTTCGGATTTTCCAAAATTTACTACACTGATGTACAAGAGGTAAGGCAAAGTTGAGAACTGAAGAGTCATAATTTAACCTCTTTTCTGAATAGGAAAATTTGGTTTATTTTAAGTGTAAAGCAATTGGGCTCAGTCTTCTTTTATGCATTTGCTGTTATAATCTCTATTTGTTGTTTTTTTTTCTCCTATAATTTTTTTGAAAATTATTTCAATAATTGTATTGGAAAAATCTTCCATTCTTGGATTAATTTTGTTTATTCTCAATCTTAACAAAAAAAAAAACAGTACTACTAGGTAGAGCACTAATAGTTCCCCTCTTTTTTATTTTTTCTCTTTTTAAATTTAACCATTGTACTAAATATGTAGTTTTTTTTAGTCTACTTATTACAAATAAATGTCAACCAAACTCAGTCTATTATTCATAAGAAATTATCTAGTTATTGCTTAAAAAAAACTACTTAAACTATGAGAGAGGCACTTCAATATTTTGATATTAACATTACTAACTAACTAAACTAATTTATTTTTCCTGGAAATAAACACCAACATTTGGATTCTCCACTTATATTTGTTCTATGTACAGCTAAAAAATATTTTCATTAGGGGGTCTATTCATTTAGATTATTTAATTCTTAGAAAATAAACGCAGGGTTTTCAAATACAGATTCAGGCATTTCTGTTTTAAGATTTAAATGTTTAACAAATTTTATTGCAGGTTAGCTATGCTAAAGATATTGATGCAGAGTTCATTAATTTTGAGGGACTTGTTGAAAAGTGTGACTTCATTTGTGTATGCTGTAATTTAACACCACAGGTAATATTTTTTGTTTATTGATAACAGATGCAGCAGTAGTTATGGGTTTTGTTAACTACAAAAGCAAAAGGCACATTTGTCATTAAAACAATTATGAGAGATTGGCTGTGAAAAGTAATTTTGTTTAATGTATATGAAGAACATTTATAAAGATAATTGGACATGGAGGAATTCTATTTTATTTTTCAGACCAGGCACATGTTTAATGCCAGTGTTTTCAAAAAGATGAAAAAAACTGCAATCCTTATAAACACTGGTCGTGGTGGTGTGATTGACCATGATGCACTTACTGAAGCTTTAAGGAATGGAGACATTACAGCTGCAGGTTTGGATGTGACTGAGCCAGAACCTCTGCCCAAGTCTCACCCACTGGTTAGTATGCCTAACTGTGTCATCTTGCCTCACATGGGCAGTAACACATGGGACTCACGTAATGCCATGGCTGAAATTGCTGCCCGCAACTGTATTGCTGCTATTTCCAACCAAACTCCAGAGGGAATCGTTACCGTTAACTAAGAAAGAAACCCCTGCTTAATGTAACATTTCCATCCAATAGCTTATAATTGTTTATTAATATATTTAAGTAATAAGATTAATCCACTCTGATAGTGTTAGTAAAAATAATTACATATTTCCACATTAGCCCTTTTATTTCAAACAGCAAATGTTTTGTTAACATACTTTTAAGCACTTCAGCTTAATTTGTATCAGAAGAATTTATTCTATTTAATATAGCTATCATTTAATTATTTATTACATATCATTAATTGATAAAAATCTAAGATTAAATATTTTCTATGGTTTATAAAGAAATTGGGCATAACATTTTTTTTTCTCTGTTGATGCAGATTGTCTAACATCAATATCACATATATTGTATCAATTTTGTGTCGTGATATATTTATTGAATACTTTGAATATGTTGTGCACTTTAAAATTCCATCACTGTATTGAAAATTGTCATAAAAAATAAAGTAGACAGAAGCATATTGTTGTAGTTTTTAAGATTGTACTGTTACACTTTTGAAGTTAGTTTTCACTAATTTGCTTTACTGGTTGCTGCTTTAAAATTTAAACACTTCAGTTGATAATTATTTCATTTGTTTTTTATGCTTCTGACATGTTAAAACTTTTTTTCCCCTTATTTTTAAAATATAAGGAATTTTAGGAAGTTGCATTCACATTCCCAATAAAAGAATTGAACATTTATTTTATTTACCCCTAGCTACAATCTATTTACAAGAAACTTTGTATTTTATTCCTAAATATATCATCAAATTCTTGGTGTTATGAATAACAACAGAATGACCATATTTACTTAACAACTAAAGCCTGAGTAAATTGACAAAATAACGTCTATATTATCTCCCTTTGTTTTATAAGAACAAAATTTTAAATAACTCAAAAATTATTCATATTACTGATCACAGTGAGCAAATTTAACAAAAAAGTTGAACAAATGTGTACAGTGATATCTGTTTTAAAATGAACATTTGGTTTGTCTAAATGTTATAATACTTCACCATCTAAATTCTAATGATCAATTTAAGTTTCTTTTTCTAGATCTGAAACTTGTTGTTTTACTTGATTTGACTTGCATAAATGTTACTACTTATCCCAGTTTCTAAACCTGAATACTCGCTGAACTTTACTTTTGAAAATTGAATTTTATAATGTAGCTTTTATGTTTATTGAGTACCTGTTTTTACATTTATATAGCATGTTTGTATGAAAATTTGTGATACATTTCTTTTTGCATTCTCTGTTGATTTTTACTGTAAATTAAGTTTTAAACAAAGGCTCAATGCAACCAAAGTTAAAAACTAAAATCATGACAACTCAAAATATTTTATCAAACTAATAAAAATTTTTAAAAATGTGAAGCACAAAATATTGATTACATGTATATTAGTTTCAGATATCTTAGAAATAGTATCTCCTATCTCAAAGGGTAATTTTTATGTGTGTGGTGTAATTATGCAGTACAAAAATTTTAAACAGAAGTATTATATTTTTTACATTCTCTTCACTTCCTTTTGTTTCTATTGCTTGTATTGGTGATTTAGTAGTATTTCCTGCCACAAAGTTGTCACTGAATCATGCATGAACCCAAGCTTTGATTATAAATGATCTTTCTTTATGTGTGGTTAATTTACTGTGTACATTGTACCTGGAAATTATGTTTAGATTAACTTTAGTTTGATCTGATTATAAATTATCTTTCTTATGAGTGGGTTTTTTTTTTTATGTATCCACTATGTACATTTTACCTGGAAATTACATTTAGATAAGCTTTGGTTTGTTACTTAGTGTTCTGATTTACTTTTAGTAACAATATTTTTTCCATTAAATTTGATAAGCTTCATAGCTCCACATTTGATAATGGTATCAGTCATTGCACAGAAAAAGTCCTTAAAATTTTAATTAAATACTAAGTAAGTACTTTGGTAAGGTCACTGTATGTCATATATATCAGTTTCATAGTTAACAAAATGGAACAAAATTATTCTTAGCTTTTGTTGTTCAAGCATATTTAGACATGTTTGTTTTAATATTTTTATTCCACCAATATAGTTTTGTATTAGAGAAGTTAATTTTTAACCACTTAGAAATGAATTTTTAAATTTTTAACATTTGTAATACAATTCTTTGGATGTCATGCATTAAATACTTTTTATAATTTGTGCACTATGTCAATGGGTGATAAGTTATTTTAAGATGTTTCAAGTAGCAATGTTAACCCTGTGTAGATCAACCCTATCCTTAAATATGTATATGCATGTCTTCTATGGTGCTTGATAGCACAGCTTCTGAATAAAATGTACTGAAATCTAGTGATCTTCAGAAAATTATGTTGCAGCTTTGACTCTTTTCAAGCAATTATGTTTGAAATATTTTAAAGCAAATATAAAATGATTGCTTTATAAACTGTTATTTCACAGACAAAAAAAAAAGGAAAAAAATTAAGTATTTATTAGACATTCATGGTTGGCAGTTAGGGTTGAATTCTTACCATTATGATTACATTGAACTTGAAGTTTTAACATGACTATTAGTAACATTGTGTACCACTGTCCATAGTGTAGAACAAAATGTAAAATCTAATTCAATTTATAAAAAATAGCTTCTGCTTTATTTTGTTTAGTAAAGAAGGTCGCCTTAATTCTTGCAGTTAAATGGATATGAGACTAGCTATGTCTACAGTTGATATGCATAGCTGGAAGATAAAACTATCAATATCTCTATACATTAGTTACATAAAATAAACATGACATATTCTCATCTGCTTTCTGCTTGTGTAATCCAGACACTAATCTCACACTTAAGCAGCTTTAAGCAGATTGTGAGCAGGTGTATGGTACCTACACGTCTGGATTAGTGAACCAGGAAGTGGTTTTTGTAACTTTAAATAGTACATCCTGGATGTAGAAATTTGACCTGCAGGGCATAGCTGAATCTATGGTAAACGTTTTGTAGTGGCGGATACCGGATAGAGCAGTAGGCTGTGTACAAGGATATGAAAAAGGTAGGCGCTCCGAGGGAACAGCTGTGTTATGGGGTAGGCATATAGCTAGTGTAGTAGAAACTAAAAAAATAAAATATATAAATATACATCCGGATTTATGTGCAATCAAATTCACGAACAAGCATTATATCTACAGTATTTACACTTTATTTTTTAATAATTTTATATTAATAAAGTTCATTCTTACGTAGATTTTAATTTTTTTCAATATCTAAGCTCAGAAATTTAATATTGCTAGCGATAAGGCTACATGGTATCGAATCGTGACTCTTACTACAACTGTTTTTCACGATCAACAAGAAATACAAACATGTCATGTTTACAATCAGTTATGCTTTAAGAACTATTATGAAATTTGTTTGCATACCGCACCCTTATCAGTATCATTCTTGACGATTGGATTCTACCAAGTTATTAAAATGTTGACCAACAATGAAGTGCCGCACACACAAAAATTAATAAACAGCAACCAAAAAACTCTCTATATCTTGTTTCACCGGCCTCCGTCTAACGAACATTGTTTTTGTTTAGTTAACAACATAATAGGTTGATCAAATAAATGTACAAGTTGGCTGTTTAATTTATCTTTCATACTCATAGACTTCTTTGGGACTTAATTTGTAAAAAAAAACCCAATAACAACAACAAACAATAACACCTCAACGACAAACAGCATATCGTATTTTAACTAACCACGTCAACCCGACAGGTGCGCTCTAGTGTGTCCACACCACACATGTTTATGGAAAGCCCCGCTGGGTGGACGTGACTAAAGCCATCCCGGCCTTGACGATGGGTTCAAGCAAGGAGCCTGTTGGTCTAGTCTACATTACTACACCGGTTTTATGATGTGTGACCTTTAGGTTCTCGGTGTTGCTCATAAAACACACTTATACTAAACATGTTAAACAATATAGCGCTAGTATCAGCTTGAAAGTAATAATAGGCCCCTAAGTAATAATAAGTCGTGGAGTAGACTAAATATTTAGAACAAAATGATTCTAGATTCACAACTTTTATTTATATCCAATTCTTATCTTCATGCGACAACGGTGTGTGTGTAGTGTTTGTTTTGCCACAGTGTGTGGATCTCATGTCATGCCCCGCTTTGCTGATCGTAATTTACAATGGATCTAATTGAATACAATTTTTAATTATCCTACTAATATATAAGAGGGTACTAAGTACAAATGTTTCGGTTTCAAAATTCTGATTATTAAAAATGCATTGCGGAGTGGTCCCCCTTTATTTGAAACTGTTTGTTTACAGCTCTGCAGGCCTAGAATTCGCCCAGACGCCAGCCAATAGTTTCCATGAAATCGGTCACTCCCCCAGTTTCAACCAATCGGTAAGCTCGAGCTCGGAAAAACAACTAAAAATAACCCTTGTTCGACCATGCTGTTTCCCCCGGCTAACTCAGCTGTTAGTCTCTCAATCGGATCACCGTACTTGTATATCTAGCAATATTTTCCTGCTTAAACTTGGATTGCATACGTGAGTGATACGCATTAGATTGCACCTAGTCTTAAATTTTCAGACTTTTCCATTTGACGCTCGTAAACAAGCCAATGCAACCCGTATGTATTAGTATTAGTAGTTAGATTTGTATTTTTTTCCTTTTATACAAAAATTTATAGTGAAACGTCGCACGCTGAAGTTTGAAAGCCGTGTGTGAACAGGTGCACATCGACGTATTTCATTGTTCACAAAATGTACTAAAGCCTTTGAAACGCATAAGGTAAGGTGAATATAATAGTTTAAATATATAAAAATATTTCTTTTTCTAAATGCGTATTATGATAAAAATGCGTAACAACAAGAAGAATCTATTTCGTACTTAGAAGAGTGACAATGTTGAATGTAAAGCCGTAATGAAGAACTAGTGCAATGTAAATATAGTGTGCTACGTGTAAGACTATTATAATAGTGACTACGATAGCCAGACGGACACTGTCCTGTAACAGAAGGACTCGTCTAGCTATTTAGTCAATATAGCTTTGAGTTTTCTAATATATGATCCAGACATTGATGTTGTTTACGTTACATCTCAAGAATACTCTACACTAAGGTAGGTGTGGTCTAATGCAGTACTTTTCTCTTCCTACCTAGCATTTTGCCATTTAGTTCATGTTTGCTTAAAATGCATAGGTAAATGTGTAATGGAATTGGCCGATAGCCTGTACCAGACCATACAATGACAAACTAATATAAGCAACCGAGAATAACAATTGATGCTGGATAATTACATAATTTCTTAAAGGAAATTGTCCTTTGATATAAACTAACCAAAAACAGCAATATGCTTTTTTTAACTCATAGGGGCGTACTTTTAACGACAAACAGACAAATGCATCTAGATAAAATAGATCTAGATAAAATAAAATATAACACAGATGCCGTTTATACTTTAAAAAATACATATTGTATATAGATTTTAGTAGGTTGGGTATAAAATTAGCATTCTAAGGTAGGCCTATCCATTGCACCCTTACAATTCTCATTTCTCATTCACGTAGACTAGTGCAAATTGTTATTAGTTCAACAAAAGCTAACAGATCACACGACAGTATCTTTATGTCCAATAGTTGATCACTGTGCCGGATTTACGTATAAGCTAAACAAAGTATAGCTCCCCCTCCCCCCCCCCCCCGCTTACTTGGGGGCCCTTAACAGTTATAGAGAATCATGTGGTGGTCATTTTGTTGCAAATTCAATCTTTAACATACATTTTTCCTTTTGTTAAACCTTGGTAAAGGCCGAGATCTCTGTCCACTAAAGTTATATATAAACACACGTTTTTGTCGGCAAAAATATTTTTACAAAATGCGAAGAATTGACACTGAAATATAATCGTAAGATATGTAAGTCTAAATCCGGCTCTGGCTGGCCAGACTTCATGAAAAGTTTACATGTACAATACACATTTTCGTTTAGTAGCCCTAAATACATGAGACCCAAACCCATTAAGATATCTAGATAAAAAATCATTTGTTGATTGAAGACTAGCATCTAGACCATTCCAGGTGAACCACTTGTACACACGTATATGGTGACTACAGCAAGCTTATGTGTAGGCTATATTTTATTTTACATACGCCACTGTTACATAGAAAGGTTAACTAGATTACTGTGTCAAAATTGTAACGCTCTACAGTGGTTTTAATTATAAATGACCCAATATACACACACACGGTGTTTCTCAAGTGCGTTTTGGTCAACATAAAATTTCATTGATTAAAAAAAAAAGCTACTGATATGGCAATGTTTTAAAAACCATTTTACTTTCAAATGTTAGGTAATCAGTAATTAGTGTACTCTGTGTTTTTATTGATAGAAATATAATTGAATTTTTTTTTGCATACTTCAACTTTTTAAAATTAAAATTCTTGCTACATTGTAAATATGGGAATAGGTGGGGACAACTGTTTATATCGTCACTTCATCTTCCCATGGCGGTGGTGGTGTGGAAGGGGGGGGGGGGGGAAATCCGTAGCTATGCTGTATCAGACCATAACATTTTCTTGAATGCCGCTGTTTCACATTAACAAGCTATCAGATCATTAACACACGAGTAATAAACAAACAAAACATCGCGATGACTAGGTCTATGTGTTACTAAGATATTTCATTGGCGTATTTAACGTGCTTTTGGTTTTAAATAATCTAACGCTCTAATTAATAAAAAGGAAACATCGACACACATAGCTTTTGAAAATTAACTATTGTCTTGTCGTTTAAAAAATGTATTGATTATAGATATAGAAGCCTTTACATTATAGAGATTATATTAAAATCAGAAGTAGTCAAAACCGATTTATTCTTTGAGGTAAAGTGTAACAACTCTTTTATTTATGCCGTCATTGAATGTAATACAATTTATTAAAAAGTGCACAGCCTATTAACAATTACTTAACTCTACATTATAATTAGATCTGTGAAACGCCGTATTGCATTGACCCAATCCCGCAAAATACAAACATGAGCTGACCAAAGTCTAACATTCTCCACAAAACAACCTTGACCCTGGCCTCAATTTCGTAGCGAGCGCCGAGCGGCGAGGTCACGGCCTTTAGGTTCAAAGTTGTTCCAGCTCGTGTTTGCATTTTGTGGTTAAACTGCACAGATGAGCAACGACCTCACGTATCGCGTTGTATGATGCACGCCGTCCATAAGTAAGAAGCGTTCATTATTTTGCAGTTAGTCTTTAACTTCTAAACATAGGGCCTGCAGGCTTTGTTTCGTCTTGCGCCGTAGCATAAAATTACATTTTTGTTTACATAGATAAACATGAAATCAAGCAGCGCCCCCCTGCCTGGCCCAACCGTACGGATAAGTATTCATTTCCTATGCGTGTTCCGCTTTTCTCATTTGAAAGTGGAGTTGAGTTTGCTGCTTTTTAAAGCATCCACAGAGCTTCTATTTTAGTATGTAGGGCTATTCAGAAAGTGACGTAATACTTGCATTTTTGAGATATGAGTTTTTTAACTGAGATTTAGCAGTTGTTTCGCAATGTGTCAATTATTGACCAAATTAAGTAATTTTTTTATTTTTTAAAAAGGGGGTGGGAGGGGGTGGGGGGGGGGGGGGGGGGCGGGGTAAATAATTTTAAAAGTATAACGATCAATAAAACTACAAGCTACGCATTAGTCAGTGTTTCTTCCAGACTTTTTTTTTTCTCCGGTCGGTCTGGAAGATTATTGTAACAACCAGAGTCGCTTAAAAATTTCTAAAACTTTAATCCTGTCTAAATCCTATCTTATATCTTATAATAAATATCTCATATTTGAATGTTGATTTACGACGTTGTAAAAACGTTTTGTGACATAGTGGAACCACATGAACATGTTTTATGGGGTGAAAACTTGAATAGCAGTTGAGAAATCGTTTTGAGTTGTGTAATAAATTTCACTGACATTGGGAAGAAGAGAGGACATTCAAGCTCTCTAGTTTTGGTGGTGTAAAATATGAGTCTTATGGCCTTAGAATAATATTAAAGAGGTTTTTTTTTCATCGAGTATAAGAACTTGTTATACCAATATTAAAGTAAAAAATAATGCATGTAACATTTGTTATTAGTGCAGGCCTGGGTTTTTGCATTTACAGAGTATCAAAACTAAATAAATGAACACTACTGCCAATATCAAAATATATTTTACAAATTTACTCTTAAAAAACTGGCAACCTTTGGGTTAATCCCCCCCCCCCCCCCCCCCCCACTTGTCGAAAGTTACTTTAACACACCCCGGCAGGTGATATCGTATTTCTAGCACCGCTTGCCTGGCCTTGACCCTAATCCTACCTCTGACCCCGACAGCAGAACAAAAAAATGTTGTATTGTTCTAAAATAAAAACAACAAAGAATTTCGTTTGATTTCAAGATAATACCGCATGGTATAACAGTAAAAAGCTAATCATAAATCGTACAACACACCTTGTGGGATCTCGTCCAGATGAGCCCAGACAAAAAAATTAACCCCCGCTTACAGCTACAAAAAAAAAAAAAAAAAAGAGTTTAAAGAGTATATGAAAATTATCAAAAGTTATAACTTTATATTTTATTGACGAGGATGAAATTCGGACGCCATTAATGATTTGCGTGAAAAGGTCTGTATTTCGGTACCTTTAACCCTAACCCTCAACAATGTTGCGCTCGTGCATTAGGCTGGCAAAAATGTGTCCGGGCTCAGTGTTTCTTCCAGACTTTTTTTCTCCGGGGGTGCACTTGAAATTTTCGGGGGGGGGGACGGGGGGGGGGGGGGACGGACGGACGACAATATTTTTTGTGGGGGGGGGGGGGGGGGCTTGGAAGAAACTCTGGCCGGGCTTAAAACTTTTCGCGCATGCACTTTTTGCCATAGTGGTGGGGCTTATCTGGACAAGACCAAACCAAAGACCTAAACTAACCATATAGTGAGATAGGACTAAGTCACCAATTCACAATATACATTCGAATGCCGGGTAGTGTCTACCTGATGTAAATTAATAATCTATTATCATGGATGTGCTAAGCAAATACAAAAAATCTCGAGCCAGCCGAGGTCGTGTTGACCGAAGATTACCGCAAACCTACAACCGCATAAACACGCTGAATACCGCATTGAAAGATCCGTGCTGTCTTGTCTAGACTGCTCATGTCACACGCTTTACTACACGCTATTGTTATGTGACGTGTACACACGTTCAAGGCTAGGCGGAGGAAGATTGACGTGTAGAGCGTTATTGTTTATCAAATAGTCGAGCTATCATTTTTTGTGTTAACAGTAACAGTATTAATAGGTCATATAAATAGAAATAGTCTGAGGTTTTAGCCCACACTTTATTTTAATGATGGCGGTTAGTTATAGTTTGCTTAGATGTATCTCGTTGGCATTAAGTTTACTAAAAGGTTTATTAATTGTTCATTGCGATGAATATGGGATTGGGCTTGTAGTTAGGTTCACGGTTAGTGTTTTTTTAAATAGATATTTTTTTCCGGGGAGAGAGTGGGGGGGGGGGGGGGTCACATAGAATGCATGAAAGAAACTCTGTTCAGGGTTAGTGTGCGATATTAAATTATTTAACGATATTGGACATCGGAAGTGGACCTATGCCAAGACCCATTCCACCTTCAAATAAAGAAAAAAAAACTTGTTTTCTTTTCCACCACCCCTAAAAAATAATCACGCTAAGCCTAAACGATAATGATTGTCTGAGTTGACGGTTTTCGGGGCTTGGAAACACTTGTACGAGAGAGGTCATGGCGACAAAGAGATGTGTGACCCCGCTGACCGAGTTAAGCGCCAACCAACAGAATCGATACCTTCACTACCCCGTGTCCTTGAGTAGACGTCATCAAAACATGTGGTTGACTGCAGCATTGTAATAGCGTCGCTGACCTACATGACATCACGCGACGCAGAAGAGATTGTAGGTTTTCTTACAAAATAAAACAGTAATAATGCTTTCTCATGACTTGGCAAAATAGAAGTGTAACGACTTGAAACACGTATGCTATTTTTAAAGCATTACGTAATAAATGGGTAAACTGTAGGCCCCCTCTGCTGCTGATTAGGCGTATCCTTATCCTTTATACCAGGGGTCGGCAACCTTTTGAAGTGGAAGAGCCAAAAGTTACAATTTTCAAAATTTCCCTGGTTTTAAAGAGCCACTAACATTTTTTTTATTTTAAATATTTTATATTTTTATTAAGATTATTAGTATTTGTTCAAGGACCTGGAGAGCCGCATCTTGATATCAAAAGAGCCGCATACGGCTCGCGAGCCGCAGGTTGCCGACCCCTGCTTTATACCATTTTCGTGTAGTCATGTGTACTATTTGTAATTTTATGGTTTATGTTACGTTTTATGCAATAATCTGTTGTTGATGGTTTTAAAAGTATATATTTGTGTAACTATATATATATATATATATATATATATATATATATCCAGGAGATTTATTTGAGATATAATAATAATAAAATAATAACCCTAATCTAACCATAAACCCAACTTTTAACAAGAGGTAGTGTAGGCTTAAGCCTGTGTACTATGATAATTTTTGCCCGTAATCTGTCTTGTCGAATGTGTTGACAATCTTTATCTCAAAGACTAAGACATTAAAGTTAGAATGACCCACTTGAATTCAACTAGATCATGGACTCGACTTACCATTTGACCTGACTAAAGTGAGCTAGCTACCTGTTTTAGATAAGAGCAACCTTCAACAGCATTGCTGTGTCATAATTTATTCCGGTTTACACATCGTCCGTGCAACTGTCTTTGTCACACTCAAATCAATAGCTACCATGTAACATTTCTTTTGTGCATACATTTAAAAAGTACACAACACGATAGCGCGCCACACTCTCCCCTCCTCGTGAACGGAGCAACACGCGAAAAAAAAAAGGAGTGTTTTTTTTAAGTTGACACCGCCAATCACACATAATAAACAGTCGTCGAGGCGTACACACTAAAAGGTACACAGTCGAATGCTGTCTTTGTTTAGACTGGTTGTGGAGGCGTTGTCACGTTTATATCTAGGAATGTATCACATTTTATAAAGGCAGATTGGGAAGACGTAACTGAACTGTGACTTCATAAGAAATCTGAACTTTTAGAGAGGATTTTGTTACATAGACATGATGACTCTTACATAAACAGGTGGACTGTGACATAGGCAGGTGACTGTTACATAGACAGGTGACTGTTACATAGACAGGTGACTGTTACATTGGCAGGTGGACTGTGACATAGGCAGGTGACTGTTACATAGACAGGTGACTGTTACATTGGCAGGTGGACTGTGACATAGGCAGGTGACTGTTACATAGACAGGTGACTGTTACATTGGCAGGTGGACTGTGACATAGGCAGGTGACTGTTACATAGACAGGTGACTGTTACATAAGCAGGTGGACTATTATATAGAAAGGATGACTGTTATATAGGCAGGTGACTGTTACATAGACAGGTGACTGTTACATAGACAGGTGACTGTTACATAGACAGGTGACTGTTACATAGACAGGTGACTGTTACATAGACAGGTGACTGTTACATAGACAGGTGACTGTTACATAGACAGGTGACTGTTACATAGACAGGTGACTGTTACATGAACAGGTCGACTATTATATAGAAAGGATGACTGTTACATAGACACGTGAGTTACATAAACAGGTGGACTGTTACATAGACAGGTGGACTGTTACATAGACAGGTGACGGTTAATACATAGACAGGTGGGCTGTGACATAGACATGATGATTATTACATAGACCTGGTGACTGTTAAATAGACACGATAGACCAGGTGTATATTACATGGACTAGGTATTTGTATTTACAGATTTAGTGACTGTTACACAGACACTGTATCTTGTACATAGACAGTGGTTGTATAGTCATGTCTACTATGGATAGAGTGTGATTTTTTTTGCCGTGTCTAAGATGTAATACATTTTAAAGAATTTTTTTGTGGGGGTGGTTTTTTTTTTTACCCGTTGAAAATTGAATCAGGTTCCATCTCATTAAGTTTAGAGTTGAGAGTCTTTGTTATGGATATGAATAGGCTAGGGATGGGAGGCGTCAAAATATGGTTGGTCGCGTGGTACCCAGAACTAAAATAGACGAGTTTGGTCGGGCTCTAGTTTCGGATGGGAGGAGTTGAATGGGGGAGGGGGGTGCGGCCCGTCACATTATGTCGACATTATTGCCTCATCTTTATCAAAACTCCGTGACCGCATTTTTACTAACACCCTTCCCACAATTTCCCCAAGTATCCGTACAGCACCTTTGTCTTTTTTTTTTAACTTCCTGGTTGAGTTATCTCATCTTGGTAGCCAAAGTAATTCTCGGTTGTCTTTTCATTGTGCTCTTGTCAAACCTACACATTTGAGTTTATACGTTACGGTTTCATTAGAATTATATAAAACATTTTAACATGTGATCGACAGGTACTTTAAGGCAATAAACTGCAGTTCTTTACGTGCATCTCTTGGTGGAAGGGGGGGGGGGATTTAACCAATGTCCGACCCCCCCCCCCCCCCCACTCCTCTCCGGAAGTTAAGTGACCCCCACTCCCCTCAGGAGAAAAAAATGTCAGAAAGAAACACTGATGAATTGAGAGTTAGGTCAACAAACCTACTGTATTTCTTGCATGTATTGGTTCAAGTATGAAGACATGACCTAACATGAACTCTGTTCATATATAAACAACAACACAGTCCTTGCCGTCTGCTAAATTGTTTCGTTCAGCCGAGTCATCGATAAACACCGGAGCACAAGGTTCGAATCACTAACAGACAGGATGTGGAACAAAAGTTTACTCATTCAACTTTATTTACGCTGTGACCTTTTATATGCTAGACACAAGTGTATCCTGTTATAAACAGTTTTTATTTACACATACATATAAATATAGAACAAATATATTAAATATAGCCGTATACAAGACAAAATAGGCTATACTAGAACAAAATATCACAACAGAAATATGTTAAGTTACTATGTTAGTGTGATATATATATATATATATATATATATATATATATATATATATATATATATATATATATATATATATATATATATATATATATATATATATATATATATATATATATATATATATATATATATATATATATATATATATATATATATATATATATATATATATATATATATATATATATAAACACACACATACATATGTCTTATTAACGCCTGCTTACCCTTCTATTTTTTCCCTACAGGATCCAAGGCCAAAGTACCCGGATTTGAACAACAAACGAACTGTGTCACTAGACCGATCCCTTACATCAGCTTTCATTGAGATACAACAACCAGCAACGTTTAAAACCATTTGAATCGTTGACGACCAACATGCTTCTGTTTAGCCCTCCATTCTGAAAGTTGTTCTCCCTCGCTGTTCGAGGACTTTATTCTGTGATCTGTTTGTCAAAGATTGATCTGAACAAGAAACTATAAATGAAAAGTGTGTTCAATAAAGAAAAGAACTCGTTTACCTTGATTAAAGTTTTGATTAAAAGGAAAAGCCAAACATCTCTAGCGACAAATAAGTTCTAGAACTTTTTTTAAAGCACGTTTTGGACTTAAAGCTTATTTTATTAGCTTTAATTGTGTACATTTTTTTTGTTACATCACTTATCAGGTGCTACACTTTGTTGCTATTTTCGTCCAATTTTGACAAGTCTTTCATAGTTATAAACTAGGTCATATTTGTTTATTTTTAAACCGGTGTTTTGTTGTAAAAAGATAGTTATTATCAATTGACTGAAGGAAATACCCACAAAACATTCCTACGGTTCAAAGTTCACCTGGTGAATTCCTCTTTGGACTGGTCGTCTGCCCGCAAGGATGAACTGCTACGCGACGTCTGCCGGGATGGCCCAAACCCGAAAGTCCAGCCGCCAGGCGTGTCGACCCCTGGTGTACGTGACCAGACGCATCCCCCAGGAGGGCGTGGACATCCTGCTCAAGGCCTGTGACGTCAAGCAGTGGGACGCCGAGCAGGCCGTGCCCCGGGGGGAGCTGCTCCACAGCGTGGCTGGGGTGGAGGCTATCTTGTGTATGCAAGGGGACGTCATCGACGCCGACGTGCTGCAGGCAGCAGGTAAGAGATGTCCAGATTATGTTTAGACAGGTTGTGTCCAGATTATGTTTAGTCAAGGTGTGTCCAGATTATGTTTAGACAGGTTGTGTCTCGCATGGGCCGTATCAGGCGTGGAATTTGTTGTGGTAGTTCAGGTAAGAGATGTCCAGATTATGTCTAGTCAGGGTGTGTCCAGATTATGTTTAGACAGGTTGTATCTCGCATGGGCCGTATCAGGCGTGGAATTTGTTTTGCTAGTTCAGGGTAGACATACCCCCTGAAGTTAAATATATAGTTCTAGACGAAATTGTTGATTCAGTGGTGTGGTGCTGTTGAGGATGTGAGGGGGGGGGGAAGGGGATACGATATTGGACTTTCATCTTTTGTCGTACGGGCAGCGTTGTTTTTGAGACATCTTTTCGGGGGGGGGGGGGGGGGGGCGGGACCGCCTCCCGAAACACGTCTGCCCCCTCCAACTAAATATAATCTATATAGAAAATGTATACTTGTTGTAACACCCCCCCCCCCCCCCACCCCCCAGAAAATTTAGTCCGCTCCCCTTCCCAAAGTTTCAAGTGCCCCCCCCCCTAAAAAAGGCTGAAAGAAACACTCTGTACGGCTAAACAAAAAAAAGTTCTTTTGTACAAACGTGAATCTTTCTCAACCAAAGTTCTACCAGCTCGCTTGCATGCCGTGTATGAGACCAATGCAGTGGATTTGGCTTCCTGGTTCTTTCTTGTTTATGGTGTTATTAGGGCGTTGTTTACAGTATTGCACAAGAACCTCTGTGTTAACAAGACATAAAAAAACGGGTTAAAGCTGCAGAACATAGCAGATCCGACCATTCAATAAACCCATAACGTTAACGCTCAATACTGATATCGCCTGTAAAATGCTAGCACGCTAAAACGTTTTAAAAAGATCTGAAAGTGATACAAGTGCTACCAGTACTTCAATGTAAAAGTACTTTTTTTTTTTATCTTAAGCTGAAGTTACCTTAACGTCCTTAAACTGCTTTCTACCTTTAAATGTTATAAAGTGGATTTTTAAAATGTTATGAAAAAAGTGGGATTAAATAAAAAAAAAAAGAAAAAAGAAAACGGCTATCGCTGACTCGCTTGTCAAAATTTGAAGTTTGAACCCGAAATGGTATTATCTTGTCCTATCACCAGTCCTGCTCGTGTCGAGTTCGGTTCACGGACTTGCCCCTGTTTGTGTTTTTAGTGTTTTTGAAGTGCGGGCTGTACTGAGGTTATCTAAAGAACTCGGGTTGTTGCCCTTAATAGTAATACCGTGGTACCAAGGGAGAGAATCTGACGGAACGGATTTCAAAGTCATTGATCAATTTCAGTAAAGATACCAGAGTTTAAATATTTGGATTTAAAATTTCAATGTCTATATACCATACTAATCAATTCCCTAATATTGCAAAGGACTAACCAAGTGACTTTTGTGACAAGTTAATAAGGGAGTAAACTAATATATTCACTCGCAACCCACCACTAATTGGGGATCAGATAATATTCTCTAACCAGATAAGTTCAGTACAACGGGTCTTTTCTAAAAAATAATGTTTTAATCTTAAAAAATAATGTTTTAATCTTGACAACACCTGTGTTGAGACTTAACACTGCAGCTTGATGACTCTGTAGTAATGGATTCTTTAATAGCTCGCAACACGCCCTAGTTTTTTGGTGTATTCATATTTAGCTTGTGTTAAAGTGAGATAAAATTGGGGTTTTGGTGTGGGTGAGATGTAAAAATACCTGTTTTTTTATCCTTCGATTTCATTTTGAACCAATGGTGGTCATGTAACAACACTAGCGGTCCTGTATCAAAACTAGTGGTCCTGTAACAACACTAGCGGTCCTATGACAAAACTAGCGGTCCTATACAAATAGTATCTCTGATACTCCATTTATGATCTTCAGACATAAAGTGGATTGGGTGGATGGGGGGGGGGCGGGGCGGGGTAAAGAAGGGCTACCTATACCTGCCGGCAAAACTTCAATAAGGGACGAAGAACCAATATACTTTCATCAAATACCTCAAATGTAGGGAATTTAATTCAGTTTTCTATGGTTTTTGTTTAATCTGGTACATCTAACATGCTGTGGATTTGGGAACATCTAAGAGATAAAAATCTGAATAAGGAGCTCAGCTGTTTGATTCAGCCAAGCTTTAGTGGTGTACCGTGTAGGTACACGTCTAGACCACGTGTCGCCATCTCTGTCCTGTGTCCGTACAGCTCTTGGTGTGTGTCGTTAGGTTTCAAACTCTCGGTTCTGTAACACGTTGATACTGTGTTGAGGTCGTTACACGTGTGCTAGGTCATTACACACTGAATGCAAACACATCTGTAACACATTAATTGTGTGCTTAGTCATTACACTGACATCTGCAACATATTAAGTGTGTGCTTGGTCATTACACAGGTGCTAGGTCATTACACACTGAATTCTAACCCTCAAATATGCAACACAGTGATACTATGTCTAGGTCATTACACTCTGGTTTCAAAGTCTCATCCGTGTAACATATTGGTAATGTGTCTAGGGCATTACACACTGAATTTAAACACTCAAATCTGCAACACATTGATTGTGTGCTAAGTCATTACAAGCTTGATTCAAAATCTCAACACTGCAACATGTTGTTTTTATTTGTATTGATGCGAATTCAACACGCTCATACCTACGTAACTATGCTCTTTTGACCTCATTTCCTATTTAGGCTGCAGCCTTTGACCTTTTGCTATTGTAAAAAAAAATGTGTATGCATAAGTCACGACGGTAGAAGTCAATGTAGGAGATTGAACCCGCAGCATAGAATAGGTGTTGGATGCTGTTACCACATGCTGTTTGAGCTTACGTTATGCCGTGCGTCTTTGTTGCACGGTATGTTAAGCACGTTATGTAAATAATTGTTCGTGTAAGTCTAAAAAGCAACACCTTTATTTGAGACAAGTTGTCGATTGAATCCAAGACTAAGTACGAAACTAAGGCCAACAAGTAGACCTGTTCTTTCGAAACCGCTGCACCCCCTTCCCACCCTGAATAAAGTACATCACACACTCCCGTTAAAGACCCCTCCCCTCAACACACACAGACTCAAGCAATGAAAACTATGACACGATGACATGTGTGCTTAAGGTCCATTACAGTCTACAGGTGCTCCCTTCCACCACAGGTAGGTCGTTCACCTGGCAATAGACCTCGCGAGTTTCCCTTTGTCTAACTCTGTTATCTATCTTAAATATATATCCCCTGGCCCGGTGGTGTTGTGTTCTACGCTCCATACCAAACGCTATATATTAGTAAAAATGTACTTTAAAAAAATGGATCGCTGAGTTGATAATTATTTTTATCTCTACACAACAATCAATCGTTTTTGTATAACAACAACAATCAATCGTTTTTGTATAACAGTGTGAGAACCATTGGTTCTAGTCCTTAGAAATGCTTAAAGCGTAGATTTCTCTGTACTTAGTCTACTTCCACTCAGCTCTGCCCCCCCCACCTAAAAAATACTCTCATCTGCCGCTTTCCCCCCCCCCCCCCACACACACACATTAAAAAATACTGACGTAAACATAAGGTGATGTAGTGAAGAGTTTTATTTTCTGTCTTCAGTTTTTGGCCTCGTTTTGACGCCGTTCTTCAGGTTTTTGCCTCCAACTAATTCAACAGGTTTTCAGTTTAGACAAGTAGCTCTAAGTCAGAATAAATACCGACTCGGAATCCTGCTGTACGTTTACCTGTGTAACACATCGAATTTTAATGTAACGCCCACAATGATCGTGTTTATATTCATAAAAAAAAATGAATGATAAAAATAATGAAAGGGGTACACAAGACAAACTAAAAAAAAAAAGATAGCCGTCTGTGTTCGAACATTTCAACACAAAGCATGAAGTATTCCTGAGATTAAACACTTTATTTTATGATAGACGGTAATACATATTTATAGTTATATAATTTATGAAATAGAATTTGCATTAAAAAAATAATTCAAATTCAAGCTTTCTCTAGCGTTAGCCCCCGCCTCCCCAGGAGACGCTCCTCCAATTTTGGGAACCACTGCACTAGACAAGTAACCAATGCTTGCAATTTTTTTGTTGTCTGTGACGTCACTTGCTAGCTTACACAGTGGTAAAAAAAAATACACGGAGCTGAGTGGTAGGCAAACATACATGCTCGACATAATGGAGCTTACTCACATAACTTGCAGGATCAGCGGTTCTCAAGTTATTGCCAGAAGGGGCACTTAAGGTCAAGTGATATTGATTGGCGAACTTTTATTTTAATTGTTTAAAACTTTAATGTTAATAGATTTTTTATAGAAGCGGACCGTAATTCAAGCGAAAAATTTAATTACACCTTGTCATATATATATATATATATATATATATATATATATATATATATATATATATATATATATATATATATAATAAGATATATATATATATTATATATATATATATATATATATATATATTTATATGTGTGTGGGTGTTTGTGTGTATGAAGAAGTTGGAAACGCATGGCAGGTAATATCAATATTTTGTTTACCTATACTATTTGTATTGAGCAAAACACTATATTCCTGACGTAGGTAAACGACCTGGTATTTTGTCTAAGGATGAGAACCGTTTTTGTGTAGATGATTATCTCAGACGCAGTTTGTATTACTTGAGCAGGAACACAAAAACTCTGGTTTTAACATCAGAAGCCTTCATTGCATTCGCTGTTGAAAGAGAGTTTGTTAACCTAGAAATTTTGGGCTAATGATACCAGCCTCTCTCTACACACACCTGGGTAATGATGGCTGAGGTTTATTTTTTTAATTTTTTAAAGTTACCTCGGCAAGAATTAAATATTAAGCTCTTAAAATAAATAGGATTACGTTGCCGAATTAAGCATTAGCATTGTGCGTTTTAATAGTTTGTATATTTGCAGAAGGATCCCTTATACACAGTGTCTTATATTTCAGAGTTTCTTCCAGACATCTCTTCGGGG